CTGTTTGCAAGGTCATGTGAACGTGCCCATCTAACCTACAAGCCCAACCGACCTGCTTTGTCGTGTTTTGACCAGTAATGCCTGCTTGGAGCACTGCAAGTTTGAGGGGCGCGGCAAGATGGGAGGGGGGGGGAGGCGGCAGCGGCGCTCCGGCGAGAATCGCGATGAGGTTGCAGGGGTGGGGCGTACACATCTTGTGCGAAAGGGTTTTAATGAATCTCTGCCTCTTGCCCCCGAACAGATGTTTTGACCGGCGTGCTGTTCAAATTGCGCCGGCCGACAAACAGGCACAACGCTTCCACACGGTGCAATTTGGGTGAGCTCCCCTTGCCAACAAATACGGTGTCAAAGCGTTGGTTGTGTTGAGGCAGCCAGACGCAGATTGAGTTCTACGTACGTGCTTTACATGTGCCACACACTGTCGTAATCGTGTGGCACACGATTACTACATGTTCACTACACGACCACACGATTCGTAAGTACACGGGGGCTTTGCCACCCCGGCCAGCGGCCCTCCCCCATGCAGCCATTGAGCCGCAGGTGGACATTGGGCAGGATATATTGGAACCATGCATACAATGTATTACGCAGAGTTTGTCAAAGCTTTTGTAATGTTGTTGTCTCCCAAGGACTGCAAAAATCAGGGACGTCATATCTTACTTTGTGATTTGGCCCCCGCGACGGTGCTGCTGCTGCTGCTGCTGCCATGGGGTAATACACTGCCACTCTCCTGTCCCGGCACAGCGCATTGCCCCACAAAATGTCGTCCTGCAGTGCAGTGGCCTGACAATTACAACCGTCAGTGGGACCATTGCGTGTCTGCAGGGGCTTGCACTCAATTGCCCGCTCCCACACGAGTGTGTGCAGGTGAGATAATATGCTCAAGTCCAAGCACTCAAAAGCATCAAAGCTGACTCGATCCGGAACTGCTCGTTGCAAGCATGACCATATCACTCGCTTGCGACGCCGCCTCTGATTTGAATACCTGGCAAGACGCTGTGATGGGGGCGCTCCTCTGGTCATTTTGAAGATCTGGGCCTGCCGTTGGCCATCCGACCGATATACACCTTCCATCCCACTGCAGGGGAGTCCGTGGCCCTGCTGCTGCGCGTGAGGCTGCAGCTGATCTACATAGCATCTGCTCAGCAGGTGCTGATTGGGCAGCTGCGGCTGCTGCTGGGGCTGGTGCGGCTGTAGCTGGCCTTGCTGCTCGTGCTTCTGCTGGTACCGCTGCTGGTGCTGCTGCTGCTAGTGGTGGGCTGTTGAGGTTGTTGGGGCTGTTGGGGCTGTCCCGGCTGGTAGGGCACGTGCCGCAGGTCCGCTTGGCCCCACCGCCCCGTCTCGAGCTGCAGCACACGCTGGTACATCAAGTCGTCTAACCTTTCATTTTCCTCTTGCTCTTTTGTTGCTTCAGTGAACTTGATAGCTAATTCCTTCACTGTCATGGCCAAGCGCATCGACGATCGCAGCAACTTTCTGTACATCTGCCAAATTCATGTGTGTGCAGGGTGTGTGTGCGATTGAGTATCTGTGTATATTTGTGTGTGTGTGTGTGTGTGTGTGTGTGTGTGTGTGTGTGTGTGTGTGTGTGTGTGTGTGCACGTGCGCACATTGAAAGGGAGGCGAGCAGGGCCAGGAGGGTGCTGGCACAGCGCCAGCGCCGGTGGCTTGCGTGCTGTGGTTGACCCACCACGCTGCCGGCCCGCACCAAACCCCCCTTGCCCCAGAAGCTCTCCGCCTCAAAACCCCCTCGTAACCCAACCTTTGCGAAAGCGGTGATGCCGCCCTCAGCCACAGGGGGCGTCTGTACTCCTATGGACGCTGCTGCAGCCGACATCTCCTCCTCCAGCGCCAGCAGCGTGTCCACCTGTCGGGCATTGCAAGGCGGCGGCGGCACGGTAAGGGCGTATGCGGTTGGCGGATACGTTGATAGAAGGTTGCCAGGGGGCGCGCAACCGGGTGTTGCGGGCCCAAAGACGGGAGTGTGTGTGTTGTGTAGAGGGGGTGTGCGCAGGCATGGGCCAGCCGGGCCCTCCCCTGCAAGAACCAGTGTGAGCTCAATCGCCTCATGCGTAGCCTCGACCCCCATGGCAGGGCCCGGCCAAGACGTCGCCATTATGCCAAACCCTGCCTTTGCCTACATATGCAAACTAAGCTGCACACACACACACACACACACACACACACACACACACACACACACACACACACAAAACACACACACACACATGACACGCACGCGCCCCGCCCATACGTCTCAAACTCAACCCCACCCCTCCACGCACCATGCGCGCCTCGGCCGCGCGCGCATCCGTTGCACACTGCTGCGCCTCCCCCATCTCCTACCGCAGCGCTGCATTTTCCTGGTGCAGCGCCGCGTTGCCGTGCCGCAGCGCTGCGTTGTCCTGCCGCAGCGCCGCCAGCTGAGTCTCCAGATCCCGCAGCGCCTCCTGCATGGCGCGGCATGGTGGCGGCGGCCGTTGCGGCGGCGTGCGTGCATGCTGTGGGTGAAGGGTTGATGGAAGGCGGAAATGGGAGGGGGGATGCGAAAGGGGTGCCCATGGACACTAAGTTGTGCGTGTTTTTTTCGTGCGTTTGTGGGTAGGAACGGGCCAGCCCTCCTTCCCCAATCAGTGCGAGCTTGATTGCCTCCTGTGTGGTCCGCCCGCTCAATACCCATGACGAGGCTGAGCCGATAATGCCGCCACAGTCTCAATCCCGGCCTCCGCCTACCCATGCAAACAGCTACGCCCACATCCCCCTTCCTACCCCCCCCCCAAATACCAGCATGCACGCCTCGGCCGCGCGCGCATCTGTCGCCAGAGCGGCCTCATGCTCCTGAGGCACAGAAATTGGGGGCATGGGGGCATTGTTTCGAATGGTTGTCGACACGAAATGCCAGCATGCTGGTGCAGATACGCACGACACGAAGCCCGACATGAGGCTTTGATCAGTGCCGCTGATTCAACCAGAGTCATGCAAACTTATGGTGCGCCGCCGACAACACGACGTTTCCCAAGATCGCACTAGTTTGCGCACTCTAGATCAAAATCGGATGCTGACAGGAAGTTATCATACACGATGTTATATTTCTCAATCGCCATATGAATAGGTAATTTAGAACATTCGGAACGCGGGCAGTTTCTTGATGTGCTGTGACGGCGGATAGATTGACGCCTGTCCTGTGGCGTTGGTGTGCGTGGCGACCTGAGCAGAGACACTCTCGCCCGCTGCTCGTGCTGCGCCAGCAAGATGAGTGGCCAGAACCAAAGGCGGTTTGTAGTGCCCGGCCTGAAGCGCAGTAGTTTTGGCCCTGCAGTGGCAGCGGCAAGCGGCGCGAAGAGTGAGCCACCTGCCAAGCGTTTCAAAAGTCCACTCGTCACAGTGGCCACAGCAGCTGCAGCGCCGCAGCAGCAGGAGCAGCAGTGCCAACAGGAGCAGCAGGAGCAGCCTTCAGTCGACAAGGAGAACCACGAGCCGGACAACGCCGAGGAGGATGGCGCGGCAGTGCCTGCGCCTGCAGCGGCCCTAGCAGCTCGGCCAGCCTTCGCAGCGCCACGGCACGCCGCCTTCCGCGCGCCCGCCGTGACGAGGCCCCCCAGCGCCGCAGCGGCGGTGGTGCCGGCAGCAATCGGCGGCAGCGTGGCGGCATTACCAGCAAAGGGAGGCGCAGAGGGGCCGAGCAGGGTGTTTGCTGTGCTGTACACCAAGGTGTGCACGTGGCATGTGAAGGGTCATGCATGCGTTCAAACAAGTGCATGCGTGGCATGCTGCTAGACAGGGTTCCTGGTTCCAAGCATGCACACATGGATGTTTCATGCATGCATGAATGCATGCGTGCGTGCATGGTCGAGCACCTACATGCATGGCAGCCCAACCTTCATGCGTGGCTATGGCGCTGGGCCTGCTTCGCATGCACGAAAGCTGCAAACCCTCACATGCTTGCCCCCCTGTAAAACTCACAGAGCGACAAGTGGAAGAAGAAGAGTGACCGCAAGGTTTGTGAGGCCACAGGGTTGCTTGGAAACGTGTTCAGGCGTTGATGTGTGCGTTTACGAAGGGCATGCGCCTGTTGCGGTGCGCACCCATGACTCGTGCATCCAGCATACTTGCCCGCCGCCGCGGCCACCCGCGTTGCTGACCAGTCGCACGCGAGGCCCTCTTTGTCTTGATGCGCTGACGCCTCCCAAAAACCATACAGTTTGCTGACGGCATACTGGAGCTGACGTCGGGCGGTGCCGCAAACCTCTTTGACACGGTGGGCGCGGCAACGGCGGTCCATGCATTGCAGCGCGTTCGCCATTGCGCCTGCCTCTGCGGCTTAGGGGGTCGCCGAATGGGGTCGTCAAAGGCAATTTGCGTTGCGGCGCACACAGGGCGACCCACGCTACGGCATGTGCGCAATGGTAAATGCCTGCTGCACTGACCCTTCTTTGCGCTTCCAACTGTGCATGACGGCGACGGTGTGCAGGAAGGCAAGTCGGTCAGCAAGAGCAGCCGTCCGCAGCTGCCCAAAGCCCCGCTGGAAAGCGGCTCCACCGTGGCCATTGGGAACCTGATGTGCGAGGTGGACAGGAGCATCCCATATGAAGAGTTCAAGTGAGACCAAGGGGAGGGGTGTTGTGTGTGCTTGGTTTGCTTGCACGCTTGCGTGTGTGTCTGTGCTCGCGAGCAGGCGTGCATGTAATTCTGTGAACTCACGGGCACATGTGTGCGCTGGCGGCCACACACACACACACTCACATGACCATGGAAAAGAGGGGATCTAGTTGAGCTTGGTTGTGCGTGCCATTCAAGGCATGCGGCTGCGCGGCTCGTTGTCACAAGGCTGGTTGATCGCCTCGTCCGACCATCCCACTCCCAGGCGCGGGGTCTGCTTCGTCGAGAGCGCCGCGGCTGGCGGCGTCGGCGACAGTGCCGCGCCGTCCCTTGCCTGCTCGATGCCTCGCAAAGCGCCGCCAGGCTCCCGGTCCGCCCCGCCGACTGGCGGCCCTGTCGGCATGGTCCGCCACGGCCCCGCCGCCGCTGGCCGCGGCCGCGGCGGCGTTGGAGGCGCGGGGGGCGGCGCCGGCGCGTCGCCCGCGCCGCTGTATGACCCGACCCACCCTGATGCGGTGCTGCTCAACGGCGAGCAGTGGGCGGGCGGCGAGGGGCGGCTGCGCAGCGGGCGGGCGGTGGTGCCCGTGGTGGTGGACCCCTACCTATCGGTGAGGAAATGAAGATGAGGAGGGATTAAAACGCTCAACCACCGCATTGCACTGCGCAAAACCAACCGCAATGGTGCAGGTTGCATGCACTGCAGCACACTGCACGCCCCTGAACTGCAGTGCCCTGCGCGCGTGACTGAGGTCTGAGGCCACACCCGGGTGACTGAGGGTCTTTGCAGCCTGTGGGGCACCAAAGGGCTTAATGCGGCGCGCCGATCCCTGTGGCATTATCAAGCCAGCTGCGGGTTGCAGTTGTCTGAGTGCTGCAGGGTTTGGGCGCTTGCTAGCGGTGCTGTCTTGTGAGCCGACCCCTCGTTCGCGCGCCCTGCCTCGCCGACCCCCACCGCCGCCGCAGCGGCACCTGCGGCCCCACCAGCGTGAGTGCTTGTAAGGCTTGGGTGGGCTGGCGGCATGAAGGGCATTGTGCTTATTCGTCATGCGAACTGTCTGTGCTGCCTGCCGAAAGCTTCTGCTGAAGCATACCAACAGCAGCACCCCCCCCCAACCCTACAGGCGAGGGCGTCCGCTGGTAAGGCTTGCGGTGGCACGCAGTGTGCTGCTTTTTCAATTATTCACATGCGCGCCGTTGTGTTCCCTCTGCCCATGAGACCAAAGGACATCTTCTCCTCCACTGCGGTTGTATGCTCCTTATCCATTCTGCCCCACACACCCACGGGCATCAAATGTCATGTCTGCATTCCACCTCTGTCTGGCCCAACCTCCGTCCCTCGGCTACCAAATTGTTAAACCACCATCTGCCGCCGTCTGTAACCATGATCCCCACCATCACCCCTGCATGCGCCCCCGCCCGCCACCCCCACAGGATGTACGAGGTCGTCATGGGGCTGAGGGCACCCGACAGATCTGGAGGCATCCTGGCTGACGAGATGGTGGGTGCAGAGTCAGGCCACCACCGCCGCGCAGTCAGAGGCGGGTGAAGGGCGATGATGCAGCAGTAGAGGCGCCCCAGGCCAGGGGGAGGTGTGGGCAGCGCACGCCTCGTCGGCTGCGAGCCTCATCAATGCCCTGCTTGCCACCGAGCGGCAGCCTGCTCTGTTCCAACAGCTCCTCCCGGGCCCTCTGGTAATTCCCCCCACCAGGGCCTGGGCAAGACCCTCCAGACACTGGCGCTGATCTGGACGCTCATGAGGCAGGGGCCAGAGGTGATGCCTGGCGGCAACGCTCGGGTTTGAAGGGTCCGGCAGCCGAAAATTGCGTCTGCCTTGGTGCCGTGCGGCGCTTGAAAAGCGGCATTGCCTGCGATGGAGGATCCTATTTCCAGCAACCGAAGCAGTTGGCCCTGTTGCACCGTTTGCATCCAGTCGCCGCCCCTGACTCGCCCCCCCTCCCCGGGTGCAGGGCGTGCCTGTTGTGCGCAAGACGGTGGTTGTGGCCCCGGCCACACTGGTGAACAACTGGGGGGCTGAGATCAAGAAGTGGATGGGGGTCGAGCGCATGAGGGCCATGGCGCTCAGCAGTCAGGTGGGGCAAAGGAGAGGGTGAGGTTGTGTGTGTGTGTGTGTGTGTGTGTGCAGGGGGGATGTGCGGGTGTGCAGGTGATAGTGAGTGGGTCATGACCAGTCAGTCAATGAGCCACCTGCTGATTATCAAAAGACATGTGTGATTTATGTGTGCAGGAGAGCTGTTCATGGGCTCACCAACTGCCCACTTTCCACGCCGCAGGGGGCAGCTGCGGAGCAGCAGGTGAAGGACTTCCGCCTTGGCAGGTGTGTGACTGACTGGCTCCCACCCCCGGCCGCACGACTCTGCACTGGAGAGCTTGTCCGGAAACACGCCGCCAGTTTCTACTGACCCGCTTCCTGGCTACTACTAGCGCCACACCTCTTTCATGCACGATGGACGGGTGCCAATCAAGAACACCGACCAACCCCTGCTGCACACCAGTCAGACCCACCCGCCCTCTTGTTTTCCTGTCCTCATGCACCGACAACCTTGTGCCCATTACTGCAAACCCTATCTCATGTCCTGAACTGGATCCCCACAGCGTGTGGAGCGTGCTGCTGGCCAGCTACGAGAGCATGCGGCGCTTCGGCGGGGAACTGGCGGGGTGCTGCGACCTGCTGATCTGCGACGAGGGCCACAGGCGCGTTTTTTTTGGGAGGGGGTGGCGCTTGGGGATGGGCTACGGATTATGGTGGGAGACGGATCACGCGCGTGCGTTACGCACGCCTCCGTGCAGGTTCGTCAACTAAGGTGAGGTGGAGTGGGTGCATGCAAACATTAGGCTCTTAACGTAGCGGCGAGCTGCTTTTCAGGCGTGCGGCGGGGATGCATGATCAGTTTTGCGACGCTGGCCCCTTCATCCTCCGCAGGCTCAAGTCAGCGGGCGGCAACAAGACCATCGCGGGGCTGCAGGCGCTCAACTGCGCGCGGCGCATGGTGCTGACTGGGACACCGGTGCAGAACAACCTGGAGGTGGGGAGTGGGTCAAAGCTGGGATGCGGCGGGGCCTCTTCAACACAGGGTGTGTCAAGATTTCCTTTGGCCTGCTAACCAACTGTCTTGCGGGGCTGGTGCTGAGCCCAACGCAGTGCGGTTTGTTATTGCAGCCAGGGTTTGCACGTCTAGGACCTTACGGGCTGGCCCCATGCCTTACCCTTGCCACCGCTCGCTTGCGTGCATGCATACCACCACGAGCTCACCACACAAACGATGCGGTCGCAGGAGTTCTACGCATTGCTGTCTTTTGCAACACCAGGCGTGCTGGGGCCCATGGCCACCTTTAAGCGCGTTTACGCAGGTGGAGGTGGAGAGGGGGAGGGGGATGGGGCTAAGAAGGGGAATACCGCTTTGACCGCCAGCATGACAGACGTGTCTGCAGCTGTGCTCACAAGTGACCGGGCGGCAAGTTCGCGCATGCTTGGTGATGCCCTCCCCTGTAGCAATACTAGACGTCATCATACACACACCACTGCCGCAACCACGACCACCACTACCACGACCACCGCCGTCACCACCACCACCGCTATGCGCGTGGTACCCAGACCCGATATCGCGGTCTCGTGACAAGGACGCCTCCCAGGCGGACAGAGAGCTGGGGGCGGCGCGTGCGGCGTGAGTGCCGCGTTCGTCGGATGCATGCACGTGCGACGATGCGTTCGCTCTTGCTCTGGGGCGGCTCGGGACATTGTTTGGCATCATTGTCAATGCACAAACCCGCGCCTTCCCCGCCAACCTAACCGTTACGGCTGGGCTTGGTCTGACATTTTGTCATCGCCTGGGGTTGGTCTGACATCTTGTCATCACCAACCCTGGCTCTACTCCTCCCGCTTAGCTAGCTGTTTGCTCCATCACTTGCACACCCGCCTTCATCCCGCTCCTCTCCTGCCTTGTTGCGCATCACAGCGAGCTGCAGCAGCAGGCGGGGGGCTACGTTCTGCGCCGCACGCAGGACGTCCTCACTCGCCACCTGCCGCCGCTGCAGACCTTCACGGTCTTTGTGCGCCCCTCGGAGCTGCAGGTCGGAGGGGCCGCGTGCTGCACAACAAGATGCCGGTGCTCTGATGCCCAACACCCCATTCAGCATCTAAACAGCATTCAATAAGATGATCTGTGAGTGGCCTCCCTGCTGCGTCTGGCGTCCGCGCGGGTCGAGCCGTGACATCAAGCCCCCACCCCACCCCGTCAGGTCGCTGTGTACCGGGCTGTGCTCAAGAGCCCTGCCATGACTCAGCTGCTGTACGGCAGCGGCGCTGGCGCCGACGGCGAGGGTGTGCTGCCGGCCATCACCGTCCTCAGGAAGGTGGGCTGCTTGTGGTGTGTTGCGTGTGTGTGTGTGTATGTGTGTGTGTGCGTGTGTGTGTATGTGTGTGCGCATGTGTGTTTGTGTGTGTGTATGTGTGTTTTGGGTGCGTTTACGCCACACGAGGCATTTAAATTTGTGTGAGCACTTTAGTACTTGACAGCACTGTACAATTACACACGCGTCACCTGCGTCCAATAGTCCCGGTAACAGCATGTCACGCCTCCGCTCATTGCCCGACCTCCATGCAGCTCTGCAACCACCCTCGCCTGCTACTGGCGCCCGCTGGCGGCGGCAATGCCAGCGGGGCCAGCAGCGGCACCGCCGCGGCCGCCACAGCCGCCCTGCAGCAGGCGCTCGGCGCCGCCGAGGCGCCGGCGCAGCCTATGGGCCAGCAGCAGCAGCAGCCGGCAGCGGAGGCTGCGGCCCCCCAGCAGCACGCGGCGCTGGACGCGGTGGGGGCGTCCGGCAAGCTGCGGTGCCTTGAGGCCCTGCTGGCGCGGGTGCTGGGCGCCGGCTGCCGCGCGGTGGTGGTGTCCACCAGCACCGCCACCCTGGACATGGTGGACGCCATGCTATGCAGGCCACAGGGGTGGGCGGCGCGAGACCGGGGCAGCCATGTTGCTGGGCTGGGGGCTCGCAGACAAGGCTGCTCTTGGTGGCTGATTGGTTGCTGTATCTTGGGGCAGCAACTAGGTGTCCGGACCGCCAGGCTCGGCCCTTCCAGGTCGGCCCGCTCTTGCCGATGCCGCGCCTGCTGTGCCATCCTGGAGTTCCCCGCCCCAAGCCCCAGCCTCGGCCGCGCTGGGCCAACCCCAGGCCGCCCTCGTCGCGCGACACGACCGCCCTCGCCTCCACGCCCGCACGCAGCTGGGCGACAGCGCGCATCGACGGGGGCACCGGCGTTGACGAGCGCCAGTCCGTGGTTGACGGGTTTAACCAGCGCGGGGTGGGGCGCGTCTTCCTGCTGTCCACGCGCGCGGGTGAGGGCAGAGTGGGGGTGAGGGTTGTGCGCGCTCGCACGCGGTGTGCCTGTGTGCCTGTTCTCCTGTGCGTGTGTGATTCTTATTATTGTCTGCGTATGTGTGTATGTTTGTGTGTGTTGCAATGGGAGTGCGTTTGCCGCACCTGTCAGACAGCCCTCACCAACCCTTCCAACTCAGCAAGTCGCTGCAGTCATGGGCAGCGGCGCACGCAAGAACGCGCAGCGCCATCCGGGACGTGCAGCGCCGCAGACGCTGCCGTTGGCATCTCCCCCCCGCCGCTTGCCCGCCCCCCTCTGCACTGGCCCCGCTGTGCAGGCGGTGCCGGGCTCAACCTGGTGGGGGCCAACCACCTCGTGCTGTTCGACAGGTGGGGGGCGGGGCGTGGGGGCGTGTGAGGCGTGTGTGTGTGTGTTCGGGGGGAGGAGGGCGTGTGTGTCTTTATGTGTTGGTTTGTGTGGGAGTATGCTGGGAGGGTGGCAGGCTGTGAGGGAGCAGCCGCGCGGGATGCGCGCAAGCGTCAAAGCAAGGACTGGGGCTCACGTGCTGCGCCTTTTGTGAGCGGCCACCCCCACCCTGTAGCGCCCCTGCCTCCATCATCCCCCTGCTCCTGCCCTTCTCGCTGCCCGTCGTCCTCCTTCTTGCACGGCTCCATCTTCATGGCCACCACTAGTGACTGGAATCCGGTGAGAGCGGCGCAGCGGCGGTCATGATTTGGTGCCAACCTAGGGTCTGGAGCTCAGGAGCGCCAGCGGACGGGCTTGGAGGGGGCAGCAGGCCAACATAGCATGGCCAGGCTCCCAAACCGTCAAGTGGCAGGGAGAGTGGGCAGCGTGGCAGCCAGGGAACGAAGCCCCGCTGCTTCACATCGCGCATGTTTTTGCCAAGTGCAGTGGCGCGCCCGCCCTTCCCCCCTTACCAAAGGCCATGGACCGGCAGGCGATGGCGCGCATCTGGCGTGACGGGCAGCGCCTGCCGTGCTTTGTGTACCGCCTACTCACGACGGGCACTATCGAGGAGAAGGTGGGGGCCTGGGTGGTGTGCTTTTGGGGGGCAGGGGCGGCAGCCTCGGCCCAAAGATGGGTGCAGGGGAAGCTGCGACATGGGCGCCCTCACAGGGTTTGCAGTCGCCCTGTGCGCTGTGGGAAAGGGGCAAACAGCCCTCCCTGCAGACACCTATGCCCTTTCCACAGGTCTACAAACCTTGTTGACACCGCGTTCGCATCCCATTGCCCGTCCCTCACTCTCAATGACCACCGCCCCTCAACCCACCCCTCGCTCCCCTCCACCCCCGCCCGTACCCCCTCCTGCCTTCAGATCTACCAGCGCCAGATCATGAAGTCTGACCTGGCGCTGGTGACCATGGAGGAGGGCGGGTCAAGGGGGGGCGGCGGCAAGGGCCTGAGCCAGGCGGAGCTCAAGCAGCTCTTCAGGCTGCAGGTGAGGGGGCGTGACGGTGGGTGATGAGATGGCGAGGGAGAGGGGGAG